GTTCTATATTTCATTTTGTTCTTGCAATCATATATTTAATAAATTAATTGATTTATCTTATCGGCCAAAAATATTTGTCACCACGTGCATTGCACGTGCACTTTACTAGTGCCTTAAAAACTCTGCATTCATGTATGTATGTATATATTACAAGAAAATGCTATCGTCTTCGTTACGGAACCATTCCGTCAGGATTTGCAATCGTTAGATCATCATGTAACCGTCAGGGATAGTTGATCTTACGGTTACAAACTCTGAGAAAATGGTTCCGTAACGGGATCGTAACATCTCCATATATTATAATCATTTATTAATTATTATGTTCCTCATCCACGACTTATATTATTTAGTTTAATGTTCATTGTTCATGATTTTTTTTTTTTCCCAAATTCGTTTTGTTAAAATTATGTTTGATCGACCTAAGAGAGCTTGGATGAGATGGCTTGGGTCTCTTCCAGCTTAACCAGTAGTCTCGAGTTCGAGCCCTAGGAATGCAGCAGTGTTAAAACTTTTGAGGGAGAGCTTTGCCGCCCTTGTGGTCCTACCCGGCTCGATTCCGGATTAATCGGTTCCCCTGTGGATCCGGAAACCGGAAGGTCCCTGTAAAAAAAAAAAAAAAAATTATGTTTGACCGATCAACCTACTTAAAATGAAGAAACAAAAAGGCTCCTAAAAATCTGAACTAGACTGACTTAAATATGTTGTGCATCCAAGCTTTTCATAGTTCCTTGCCAAAACTGGCATAAATTCAAAATTTGAACCTTCACCATTAAATCATTTTTACAATTAAATTAAAAAAAAAAGATGGTGCAAGACAGGATCAATCATAATTCTATTTCCTAGTTCCTACACATAAATTGAATCTAAAAAAAAAAAATAAAAAAATAAGAAAAGTGATCAAGAAAACTAAAAAATACAAGATTTTGAAGGGTGGCCTCATTCACAGCATTCAGCTTTATGCTCTTTCTGCAATTTTTCCCACAGGCAAAGCATCATCCTTGGATTTTGGTAATGGGCCAACATATAATCCGTATCACATCCCGCGTTGTAAAACCGATCATCGTTCGAGTATTCGATTTTTTTCCCGCTCGTTTCGTATTGGTTGATCCATATGCCCACAGCAACATCTTCCAACTTGAACAGCTAACAATGTAGGCCCAAGAACAGTAATAATAAGCCCGAGGACAAGTGATTCGCTATTTTATTAACTCGATCGAACAATACTTTTCATTTTCTTACGTAAAGTTTTACAAAGGAAGTAGACTTGAGAGGCTGATCGTAAGTAAAAAGTTTTACCGTGAGATCCCTCTCTTTGTGGCCTTGAACAATAAATCTTGCAATGTCTTGGGAGATTATGTAGCCCGGCCCGTGGGCCCAAGGAGGATAGGATGAATGTGGCCATTCCTAGACGAAGGATACAAAACATTTGCACGAGTCAACTATACACGAGCTACAAAAACAGTCGATCGAGCAAAAAAGCTAGAATGGAAGTCTCAACAATAAAGCTGATTGTATACCTCATCACTTATGAACCATTTGTTGTCCTTGTCCCTGTGTGGGGTTGACTCGAAAGATATATGACCGTACAAAAGTCCGTTTGAAGGCTTTCCCTTGAGACTCGACAAAACTTCATCGACCCTTACAAATGCATCATCATCCATTTTCATTATGTATTTGGCGCGCAGTATTTTTGTCTGTTTTAAGAGAGAAAAATAAGTAAACTAAGTTTAGTTAACCAACTTAAAGATGTTGGGGTTTAACTCAGAACTCTACATATTTTCACATGAATCGTACGAGCAAGTATATATGGTGACAATGGATAGACTGCCGGTTAATTATACTCAAAATTTCATGGAGAAAAGGTAAAATATGTACCCCAAGGATGCAAATAGCAATGGTTTTGTATGTAAGCAGGCTGTAATAATCCACAAACGGCATCAACTGGATATCACCGTATGCTTCAGCTTCTTTCCATAGCTTGAAGTTCACCTCTTTATTCTTGTGCTGCACATTTTAGTTACTTAACTACTTCAGATGTGATTATAACAAACTATTGTCGTGTAAATAACCAAAAAAGACAAAAAAAAAAGGTTTTGAGATTCCCTCACGTGTCGTATTTTCTTTCTACCACTGGGACCCAAGGCACGAAGTTGGTATCATTTGTTGTTCCTTCATTCCATTTAAAACTGGAACAACTCAGGTCGACTTTTCGATTGCATTTCATCGGGTCCCAAGTCATGATACCGAAGGAGTCAATCACAGATATCGTGCAAGGAGACATTGAGAGCTTGAGGGATTATATTTCTCGGTTTAATGAACATGTGCAAAATTCAGAGTCATGCCACTAGGCGATGTTGTTGGTGTCGGCATACTCGGACCTGAAATCGAAATCGATGTTCGCTATGTCAGAATAAATTGCAGAGCTACTAGAAGTTTTTGGCACGTGCACATAAACACCTGATAGCTGAGGAATCCATGTCACTCTTATCCTTTGACCTACCAAAAAGCGCGAACGTGAAGGGAAAATATACAAATTAGGTCAGAACCCGACGAAGGATGCTCGAACTACCCAAGTTTGGGCACTGCAGAAACAACATTAGGAGGATGTTGATGGCCAAGTATCATAGGTTCTATTCGAAAGGGGTCGCAGTCGTATATGAGCACTGAAGAAAATAGAAATCATTTCGGATCCGAGGCTGGTCCGAGCCAATGAGGATCAACTCGATAAGTCGTGGTATATGCATATCACAAATCTAATAGGCATAACATGGACCAGTGTTGTAACCTCATTTCTGCGCATTGGGGACATGTAAGTTCAATAGTTCATGCAAAATCCAAAGAAAGAAAAAGAGGTCGAGCAGAGGACATCCCAGATAGTGAAGATGACATAGATATGACATCAAATCTGAAGAGAGCAAGGGATCCACCCTGGGAAATTATGACCTTCAGTCGAGGCTACCAAGATGAGGCAAGCTCTTCTTGCTAGGAAGCGCCGTTGTGGCTCTCCATGTCGATTAGGCCAAGGAGTGAGCCAAGAACAATCAATAAGATCCTTCTCGATTCGTCTCGTGAACACCATCCGTGGAGGACCTGTCATGTCCTGAAGATAGACCAAGGCGTATGTCAAGTAGGCGTATAGTGTCAAACAACATGTTTGAAATGCCAAAAAAATTGTCAGAAAAAACTGGATCGTCTTTCCGACGGATGTCGTACAATTTGATCACCCCCGTTCGGTCGCTCTCATGCTCACAACACCAATCTTCTATATCCCGGTGCTTTGGATTTTGGTGGATATTGAGGCCTATATATGCGTTATATACCTAAATACTTTCAAGAAGATGAGAATTTATCCCAAGGAGATCTGACCATGCAGCAGAAAAATTCAAGGATTTGACGACCGAACCACAATTCCCGAGGGTGAGACCTTGTCCATCCAGTTCAGAAGAAACGGGCCGACTAAAAAGCCAAATGTAGAAACTTTCAAAATCGTGAATAACGAGAATAAGCTCCTAGTTGTTGTGTCCATTTTAACTACCCCCTTAAGTTCCCAACGTCAAAAAGATTAGATATTCATTATGTAGACCAGCGAGAAGCTCATGAATGCATCATGGTTTGCCCTTCGGTTGGAGATACACGCAAATGAAAGTGTTCAAGTCGTACAACCGACCAAAAAGAGGAGTGGAAAGAACTGGCGCCATCCGAACAACCATTACAAGAGCAGGCCTTGTAGTAAATCTTGACGACATACCCCAATCAAGTGGGTCAAGCATAATTAAGTTTGCCGACATACGAAGGTGCCATCTCGAATGAAGTTCTCCCCAGCAAGGAAGAGTTAACCCAAGACCAAGGGAGAAGACCTAGCAAAGAGCCTTTGAAGAAAGAGGATGAATCGATCCACATGATCAGTTCAAGGAAAAGAAAAGTGGCGACCGTGACTAGACATGGCCACGAGTTACCCGACACGAACCCGACCCGGTCAAACCTGTGGTCAACGGGTCTGGGCTCGTGCATAGATTCAAACCATCCGATTCGAGGTCGGGGATTTCTAACATTTCACCCGACGGGCTGGATCGGCCTAGCAAATCAACGGTCATTCTTTTCAGTTTTTTTAAGACGAGTCCTGGATCTGGGTCGGGCAAAGTCTGGCCCTACCGGGTTGTGTACCGGCTCGTACCTAGTATGGGTCTATTCAGGGTCGGCCATTTTGAACCTGAGACCCGCTAGGAGGGGTCGGGCCTAGACCCAACTCGGGATTTGGCCATGTTTAAGTATGAAGAGCCAATGAAAGATGTGGATCAGAGGTGATTTACGTTGATGAGCCTACCTGTAAAAAACAGCTCCGCATTGGCAAAAACCTGGCAGAACCTATGCGATCCGAGCTAATCAAATCCCTCAGGGAGAACACAAACGTATTTGCATGGGCATATGAGGATATGGTCAGAATAGACACGAAAATGGTCTCCAACAAATTGCAAGTCGATAAGATGCCTAAGCCAGTCGTCTATAAAAATGTGAAACTCAAATCATACAGACAACAGACCCTCGAAGAAGAAGTGATAAATTTGATCGATAATTAGCTCATTCGGGAAATGCGTTACCTGACCTCGGTATCCAAATCAATTTTGGTTAAGAAACATAGTGTTTCCTGGGGACTATGCATTCCGACTTGAGCAAAGCGTGCCCAAAAGATATCTTTTCCTTGTCACATATTGATTACATGGTGGACGCAGCTTCAGGCCACGAGCTGATGATCTCCATGGATGCGCAGTCGAGCTACAACCAGATCCCGATGTACCCGGATGACGAAGAGCATACTTTCTTCTACTTGGCCAGAGGACTTTATTGTTACAATATGATGTCTTTTCGATTAAAAAATGCAGGGGCAACCTACCAAAGACTCATCAATAAAATGTTTGATAGTTTGATAGGGGATATCATGGAAGTTTACGTAGATGACATGTTGGTCAAATCATTGTATGTGCACGATCATGTAACCCATCTTGATAAAATGTTTACTATCTTGCGTGATTATTTGATGGATTTAAATCCTAAAACATGTACATTCAGGGTCGGCTCGGGAAAATTCTTAGGCTATATAGTTAGCTAGAGAGGAATCAAGGCCAACCCCGATAAAATGAAAGCTATTTTACATTTGAGACTCCAATATCAGTTAACGGTGTTCAAAGTCTAACCGAACTGCTTGCCGCACCTAGTAGGTTTATATCAAAATCAACGGATTGATGCAAACTTTTTTCGAATCCATAAAAAGGAGCAACAAGTTCGAGTGGACTCCAGAGTATCAAAGGGCTTCGGAAAGTTAAGACGACATTAAGTAAAGCCCCCATTTTACACAAACCAAGACACGGACAAATGTTATATCTATTAATGGGGATCACAAATGTAGTAATAAGTGCAGATTACGAGAAGAGAATTCGCACCAACACCCGATCTACTATATGAGCAAGAACTTTCACGATGTCGAGCTACGCTATGCCTCAATGGACAAATTGGCGTTTGCTTTGGTGACTTTGGCACGAAAGTTACGACCATATATCCTTGAATTCAATATTAGTTTTGACGGACTTAACCATTAAGGTAAATCCTACACCGGATCGGACACATGAGAAGGATGATCAAATTTGCAGTTGAGCTAGGTCAATTCGATATGTATTATTAGCCCCAAACGGCCAACAAAAGGAAAATATTGTCCGACTTTACAGCCGAATTCATCCTAGAAATGGAGGAAGTTCCGAATGATGAACTTTGGGTGATGCATGTGGATGGTTCTTCCATCGCCAACCGAGATGGTGGAGGATTCGTCCTAGTTTATCCTCAGAAGAGATTGTTTTGCAACTATATTCTGTATTTGTTCGCAAAACAACCAATAACAAAACTGAATACGGATTATGCTATCTGAATTAGCTTTGGATTTATGTCGAAAAATAAGTGAAGACATTAATTAATAAAATACTAAAATTTGTTTGTCTAGCATAACATTTCATAGTAAAAGTATGTATTTTTATTCAAATAGTATGACGGGTAGACTTGCCATGCAATTAAGCTTTCTCACTATATGTTGTAGAAATGTAAAAATTTGTTGAAGATACCAAGTATTATTGTATTATCTAGGATGAAATTTCTCAATACATAAGAGGGAAAAAAACTTTTAGATTGCAAGGTTGGCTAAAACTCTTTAGCAATGTCAAACTATTGAAAATGAACTAATGCATGAATATCCATATAGTGGTGACTCAATAAAATATGTGTGCATGAATGTCTACCCTAAATATTTAGTTTGGATTTCTATTTATTCGCAGTATTATATGTCAGTTTTTAGTGAACAAAACTATTAAAATTATAAAATACCTCACTAACTTAACTTATAAATATATTCTAAAATTTAATAATCTTTTAATTTGTTATTAATTTTTCTAAACTAAATTAAAGATAAAGGAATCAAAAATGAAAAAGGGAAAACGAAATTGACAAATAGCCAATATATTGGAGTCTCGTGAGGAAAGAAAATAGGTCCCGTAATGCATAATCGCGACAATAGTCCCCAATCAATCAAGACTTTTTTTGTTATTTGGAAAAATGAAATTAAATTTATGTTTTTTTTTGTAAGGGTATATCATTGGTATTTAAATATGCCATTCAAACCAATTCATTCATTCATTTGATGTCAAAACTAGTGAGCCTCACTTTTGTATGACATTAAATAGGAAAATCTGGGGCAAAATAATTAAAAAATACTACCTCCTTTTTTAAATAAATGTCGTTTTGACTTTTTTGATTCGTCCATTTTGCTATGTATCTAGACATATTAATGTATCTAGACATATTAATGTCTAGATACATAGCAAAATGGATAAATCAAAAAAGTCAAAACGACATGTATTTAAAAAAGGAGGGAGTATTACTTATCTTGCGCTTGCTTTTAATTCATATATTTTAATGCTTTTTAATGGATCCCACACTTAATGTCTAAGTTCAATGAATGTCGAAAAGTGTTTAAATAGAAGAATATTTATTGGAATGAAAACGTTGCATGATATAAATGAGATAGAGTGTAGTTGGTGATTAAATGAATGACATCGGAGATGCTCTAAGTGCCACAGACAAGCAATATTCAAATATGCAGTGAAAGAATGCATAAGAACAGATGGACTAGAAGTTGACCGTTGACCCCTATTTATGGTTATGTTTTTTATCCCAATTTGAAATTTTCATTTAGCCACCCATGCTAAGTAACTTGAGTTTAAAGAGAGACAATATTTTATAATCACTAATTTTAATTTGTTATAACATTTGTTGTTATGCATAAATGTATTATCTTTCCTAGTCGTATATATTAATTATATAAATAAAAATGATCAAATATTTTCGGACAAACTTGAAACATATGAAATTGAAGGTTCTAACAAGAGTCGAGACTAATCATCAATTGTAGGGAAACCATAAGCGCCAAAACCAAAACTTACACAACCAAAATCTGTCCCCAAATCCCCATTGCCTAGTGTAGATAAATTTTTCAAGGGCATCAAAACTGTGCTGTGAATTGCATCTTTTTGTCTGTCTCTATACGAGCAAGATAATGGAATAGGTTATCTGAACAATGTTTCTGCAGTCAAGCTTCTGAAGAATGGCAATTCTCCTGATACTCATATTTGCTCATTACTAGAGCAAGTGAAAATTTTATGTGGTCTTTGTAATATTGACAATTTTAATGCTTTTTAGTTTGTGTGTGTTTATTTTGTTGTAGACCTGTGTGGTCTGGGAGGGGTAGAAGTATTCTATCTCGTGCTTAGTGGGTTTGGTGTTCAAGCCCCTGGCTTTTGATCATTTGATCAGTCGCTGTATCGAACCTACACACATCGCTCTTTGGATCAATGGCTCGCGAATATGCATCTATTGCCGGTTTATAATATTTGTTTGTTTGCCTTGAAAAAAAAAAAAAAAAAAAAAAACATGGGAACTGGGAGCCTAATTCCTCAGAAATTTCATTCCAAATTTTTTAAAATAATTGTTTCCCCATGTGAAATAAATTGGTCATAAGGCATAAATAATCACAACATGAACTAAATAAAGAAATAAGAAATAAATACAGCCCATAGTAGCATAAGGTTAGAGATTACCATAAACTTTTATCACTGTTTTCACACCAACAATCATAAAAAGTTCAAACTAAAAGCTCCCATAACCAATCCAAACAAAGCATCATCACCAAACAAAGCCAAGTCCCAACACAAACACAGCCAAACCCAAAGTAAACGTTAAAGAGCAGAGCAAACACACAAGTTCTTGATATACCAAATCCTTAGAAACCACCACCACCACCACGAAGACGGAGCACGAGATGAAGGGTCGACTCCTTCTGTATATTGTAATCCGCAAGGGTCCTCCCGTCCTCAAGCTGTTTCCCGGCAAATATAAGCCTCTGCTGATCTGGCGGAATCCCCTCCTTATCTTGAATCTTCGCCTTCACATTGTCGATCGTGTCTGAGCTCTCCACTTCCAGGGTGATTGTCTTACCGGTCAAAGTCTTCACGAATATCTGCATCCCACCCCTCAAACGCAAGACGAGATGGAGGGTCGACTCCTTTTGGATGTTGTAATCGGCCAAGGTTCTCCCGTCCTCGAGCTGTTTACCAGCAAATATCAACCTCTGCTGGTCGGGCGGGATGCCCTCCTTGTCCTGAATCTTAGCCTTCACATTATCAATTGTATCCGAGCTTTCGACTTCCAAGGTGATAGTTTTACCAGTAAGGGTCTTCACGAAGATTTGCATTCCACCCCTCAGACGCAAGACCAAGTGAAGGGTCGACTCCTTTTGGATGTTATAATCTGCTAGAGTACGGCCATCCTCCAGCTGCTTTCCGGCAAAGATCAGCCTCTGCTGGTCCGGTGGGATTCCTTCCTTGTCCTGGATTTTCGCCTTCACGTTGTCGATGGTGTCCGAGCTCTCGACTTCCAAAGTAATGGTTTTGCCTGTAAGGGTCTTCACAAATATCTGCATTCCACCACGGAGCCTGAGCACGAGGTGAAGTGTAGACTCTTTCTGGATGTTGTAGTCCGCAAGAGTACGGCCGTCCTCAAGCTGTTTGCCAGCAAAGATCAATCTTTGCTGGTCAGGCGGGATACCCTCCTTGTCCTGGATCTTAGCCTTGACATTGTCAATGGTGTCCGAGCTCTCGACCTCAAGGGTTATTGTTTTTCCAGTGAGGGTCTTGACGAAGATTTGCATCCCCCCACGGAGCCTGAGAACAAGATGGAGGGTGGACTCCTTCTGGATGTTGTAGTCCGCTAAGGTCCTGCCATCCTCGAGCTGTTTTCCAGCAAAGATCAGGCGCTGCTGGTCTGGGGGAATACCCTCCTTGTCCTGAATTTTGGCCTTGACGTTGTCAATCGTGTCCGACCCCTCGACTTCCAGGGTGATTGTCTTCCCGGTCAGAGTCTTCACAAAAATCTGCATGCCACCCCTCAAACGCAAGACGAGGTGGAGGGTGGACTCCTTCTGGATGTTGTAGTCGGCTAGGGTCCTGCCATCCTCAAGCTGTTTTCCGGCAAAGATCAACCTTTGCTGGTCTGGAGGAATTCCCTCTTTGTCTTGAATCTTGGCCTTGACGTTGTCAATGGTGTCGGAACTCTCCACCTCGAGAGTAATGGTCTTGCCGGTTAGGGTCTTCACAAAGATCTGCATCTGAATTTTAAAAAAAAAAAAGATATATATCAGCAATTATACACAACAAAGCATCGGGTGAAACGAAGGCGAAGCATCCACACCTTACAAAGCATCGAGTACATGATCAGCAAGCATTAACAAGGATAATTCAGCTGAAAGCATGCTCCCTAATTGATCTAAACTTCAACATAAATTTTCAAACTGAAGCATATCAGTGGCAAAATAGAATTCTAAACACTTCTACAGAATCATTCGACATAATACCCAACTACCACTCGTACTGAACTTCATAAGACCTAGATCAGATAATTTTCTCAATTCAGAGGATCAACCAAACTCACACTTGTACTGGATCATAAAATATAAACCTAATTATGAATTATCACAATAAGTTCAGTCGCGCGGACAGATAGAGCAAACCCTAACAATCCACTAAAATCAAAATCAGGGACAGATCTACAATTACGATCAGACAATCAGACAAACACAACGAACAAGCTCCAATAATCAATATCGACAGAAATCAAAACACAGATCTACAATCTCAGATCCATATACTTTACATATAAATCGTGATAAGATGAAACGTACCAACAAATCTCCGCATAAAACTATTATATGCACAAATTCGAACATAGAAAAAACACGTACATAAATAATTCTAATCGGATGAAGGGATTCGATTTTACCTTGAACTGGAATTGTTTAATGAGCCGAAAACTCGTAAACTTTTGGAGAACTTGAGATTGGAACGATTGATAGGAAAAATAAAGGTGTTTGATTTGTGGAATATAAGATCGGTGGAGGTGAGGTTATATATAGTGGTGGTCGGGTAGGGTAAACCGACTTTCGCGGGCGAAATATCGCTGTCGTAAGCAGTGACGTACGCCGATCGCTGTTTGGTTGTGAGTTGCAACTTGTAACAACAACAATAATAATAGGGTGGGTTATAATATAGGAAGATGCTACCATCCAGTTAGGAATTATTCTGTTGGAGTTTTTAACTGTTAGATAAATTATCTTTGACGGTTACTTAATGATTAACGGTTACAAATCTCAACGGAATGGTTCCGTGAGAGCTTAGCATTTCCTTATAATATAATTAAATTTTTATATTTTTAATATAAAGAAATGACTAAATTTAATGATAGTAAAAATCCTAATAAATAAATGAAAAATAGTGTTTATGAAAGATGAATATAATAAATATGGATCCACATATGAAATGATAAAAATGGCCTTATAGATTAAACTATTTTTTTTATCATATTATTATATATTTGTTTATGACATGTGATAAATTAAACTTGTACTTCGATTTTTTTATTCTTAAATTGAAATTGATATATTTGTGTGGGAGTATGTATTAGCATCAAGTCCATGATAAGGGCCTAAGGCTCACAAAGGCTCTATCCAAAATTGGACCAATTTGGTCTTGACCCCTGGTCAATTTGGGAGAACTAGAAAAGTCTAGCTTCCAATGGAGAAAATGCCCAAGTTCTTAATTGATTATATGAATTATAGAAAAGTCTAGCTTCTAATGGAGAAAATGCCCGAGTCATTATATGAATTATTTGATCACTAATGATTATATAATTAGTATTCGATTAAGTGCATATATACCTATTCAAATATGTTATTGTGTATCTCCCTTATATATTAATTCAGAACGTGCTGAGCCTAAATCGTAGGCTCGCACGCTTCGAAATCCTACTTGACGAAAATTCATGCTTCGGTATTTGGTTTGGATAAAATTATTGTTATTTTAATTTAATAATTTTAGGTTCGGACATTCCATATATATATATATATATATATATATATGTTAAAAAAAGTTAACTTCGGTAATTTCATAACACTTTTACTAATATAATCTCCTCATTCTTTTGTAATCTTATACCTAACAAAAATCAACACAGAATTATTTGTAATCTTACACCTAAAATAAAAACACAGAGCCCCATTAATTTCTTTCCAATTGAATGTGTTTGTCAATTGAACTCTTCCTCTTCCTTTTCCTTTTCACGTTACTTTCACCGGAGCCCCATTGATGACTTTCCAATTGTATGTTTCAAAATCGATTACCCATATTGGTTTCCCTCAATTTGATGAACTCTAGCACCTCCAAATTTGATTGAATTTAGCTCGATTTATTAGGTACTCTAGATTTAGGAATCTTCAATTCCTTTCACGCCCGTACACTTCAAATTATCACACGAGGATCAAATTGAAGCCCTAATCACCATCTTCGATATGCATCAATATTGACTGACCTCTTATTCATAATTGATTTTGCCGGTGAGTTTTTTTTTCCCATTGTTGTTTCGAGTTTATCAATTTTGACTGACCTCTTTTTGTTTGCCGGTCCAGATTTGGTGAAGGGGTTTGGTTTGGTATGAGGACAGAGAATGGAAGCTGACATCTTTGAAAACCCATATCAAATTGTTTTTCCACATTGATTATTTTCTGTCATCTGCTTTGAGAAATATTAACCTTATGGTTTACCAAAAAAATCAACTCATTTTTCCAAGATTTTATCACAATCACATAAATCACAATAAAACCCGATTTTCCTTTAATTTTGTGATCATTTATATTATTCCTTATTTTGTGTAGCTGCATATTTTGTTTTCATTTTGTTAGTCACATCCTCCATTGGTATTGGATGCTGAAATTAATTATTTATTTATTGCCATAAATAATTTATTCATACATCTCAAGCTTTTTATACTACCATGTATAAAAGGAACTATTTAGTTCATTCTTTTTTATTTGAGTGGGTGAGGAGATTGTACATCAAGTACAATAATGGGAACGACGTTCAACTGTGTTGGTGAAATCACTAAAGAAAAAGAGACATGGCAAATTCGTGTTCATTATTTGCGAGTATGGTTAAGCACATGCTAAACCGCCCGAAATCCGCCAGTCTATGGAGATTTGTATTGTGGATGAACATGTATTGCTTTTCATATTAACTTTGATCTATCATTTTCAATTTTTTTTTTATTATTTTTTTTTGCCATTTGTTTTCTGTCAAACTAATTTATACTGCAACATTTTTATAGAGTGATAAGATACAAGCGGCGATTCCGAAATGGCGTATTTCAAAATTTGAGGAAATGAATCTTGAAGGAAAGTTTTATGTAATGAGAAAATTTTGAAATTTTGGACAACACAGATGACTATAGTGCTACCCCACATAAGTGTCTGTTGAAGTTTCATAATTTGACATCGGTGAAGCTGATGTCAGAGAATCTTAACATTCCTCGATATATGTTTAATTTCATTAGCTTTGACGAGCTCAGGAATAACTCTGAGTACAATTCGCGTTTATTTGATATGTAAATTAACTTCATATTCGACATTTATATTATTATACTAATATGAATATTATTGTCATGTAATATCTGGTTACATATTCGGAGGCCATTAAACTAACTAACTTTATTCGTATTTTCATTATTTTTATTGTCATGTAGATGTGATTGCTGAAGTCTATGATGTTGATGAACTTGTCAAAATGGATCGGGATGGTCATCAATTGACAAGAATTAAGATACATCTCCAGAACTTGAGGTATGAGATATGTATTCGACTTTTTCCTTTTTATTTTTTATTTTCATTATCTATTAAATTCAATGTGTATTCATTTAGGATATATAAGAAACTTTCAATAATTTGGTTTATGTAATTTACATTTTTAAAGTTTAAAATGTTTTGAAGTATTCTATTGAAATTTTAAAAAGTGCTAAAAAGTCATCATATGTTTCAAAACATTAATTGATCATTATATTCAGTAGGAAATCTTACTGTAGCATTATTTAATGGTTCAAAATAATCATTTCATTGTTTGTGTAGCTGCTTAAATAATGAGTATGTTAAACGAAAAGATCAACAAATATATTTATTCTATGTTTTTATCTTATGTTTTATTAGCAGCGATACCATGCATTGTACATTGTGGAACAAATTCGCCATGCAAATGACTGAATTCTGGAAATCCAACAATGATGTTCCAGTTGTTGTTATACTTCAATATGCCATGGTGAAGAGATGGGGAGGTAATAACCGAAGCTGAAGATTTATCCTAGCTTTTTTTTTTTTTT